AAAAAAAAAAAAAAAAAAAGACAGCTCCTGGCAGTCTTCCTATTCTCTCTCATGGAGGATGGATTCCTGCATGGTTGTAAGAACTGCACCTGCTCAAGGCTCTCAACCCCACGTCTTTCCCTCCCCACCCACATTAAACTCCTTGGCTACCCATGCCCTCTTGGGAGGGGTATGAACCACCCCTAAACACATCACTCTTAGCCAAATCTAAGTGATATGGAACATAGACTCTTCCTCTTTCCCTGCCTCTAGGGTGAAACCAGCATTTACCCTGCCCCCAAAAGTTTGGTCAACCAAACCACATAGCCAATGGCAGTGTGTGTGTAGAGGCTTTGACTATCTCTTCAAAAATTAGACAGGAGAATGCTGAATATGTGTATCAGACACTAATATAAATTATTTTGAAAGCATTTTAACTTAGAGAATATCTTGAAGAAGCAGCATGGAGAAGTAGAAACAAATACAATGCATAATGCCAAAGAGTGCTGGATTCAAATTCAGTCTCATGACTTACAGCTCTAGAAATACCCAAATTTTGTTTCCTAATCTTTAAAATGAGGATTGTTGTGCATACAGAATGAAAATACACGGAAATTATGTAGTACAATGCCTACAATAAAAGGCCAGGGGTTCCCAAGATGGTGAGCATCTTTAAAAACACAACTGTCGGGGCAACTCTCCTGCCTACATGTGATTCACAAAAGAGACAACACCCAGTCAAAAGTGGGAAACACTGCCCTAAGTTCTCAACAAATACAGTTTCCCTGACTTCCCCTCTATCTAAAGAAAGGCTAAAAGGTACCATGCTGTACATTAGATTCCCAAAACTTCCTGATTTATACCTGGAATTCTGTACCCATTGACCAACATCTTCCCATTTCCCCCACTCCCAGCCCTGGCAACTAACATTCTACTCCGTTTCCATGAGTTTGACTTTTTTAGATTCCACATGTAAGTGAGATACAGTATTTGTCTTTTTCCGTCTGACTTATTTCACTTCACATAATGTCCTCATGGTTCATATATGTCACAAATGGCAGCATTTCTTATAGCTGAATAATATTCCATTATATATATATGTATATATATATTCCATTATATATATAAATAAATAAAAACATAAATATACATAATATATATATATTTTATATATAATATTTATCCACTTATCCAGTGACAGACACTTAGGTTTCTTTCATATCTTGGTTATTATGAGTAATGCTGTGAAGAACATGGGAGTGCATCTTTTCAAGATCCTAATTTCATTTATTTTGGATAGATACCTGGTAGTGGAATTGCTGAATCATATGGTAGTGCTATTTTTAGTATTTTGAGGAACCTCTATGCTGTTTTCCATTGTGGCTGCATCAATTTACATTCCCACTATCAGTGCACAAGGGTTGCATTTTCTCCACATCCTTGCCAGCACTTCTTATCTTTTTGATGATAGCCATTCTAATAAGTGTGAGTGTGAGGTAATATCACATTGTGGTTTTAATTTGCATTTCCCTGATTACTGATGTTGAGCATCTTTTCATGTACTCATTGATTTGGATAACTTCTTTGAGAAAACATCCATTCAGTTCCTCTGCCCATTTTTTATTGCATTGGTTGTTTTTTGTTATTGAGTTGAATGAATTCTTGCCTATTTTGAATACTAATTCCTTATCTAACATACCATTTGCAAGTATTTCCTCCCAATCCACAGGTTGCCTTTTCATTTTGTTGATTATTTCTTTTGCTGTGCAGAAGCTTTTTAGTTTGATGTAGTCGCACTTACTTATTTTGCTTCTGTTGCTTATATGTTTGGTGTCATATCCAAAAAAATCATTGCTAAAACCAGTGTCATGGAGATTTCCCCTGTGTTTTCTTCTAGGAGTTTTATGGTTTTAGGTCTTACATTTAAGTTTTTAATCCATTCCATGTTAATTTTTGTAAGCAATATAAGATAGGGATCTAATTTCATTCTTTTGCATGTGATTATCCAGTTTTCCCAATACCATTTACTGAGGAGACTATTCTTCCCTCACTGAATATTCTTGGCTCCCATGTCAATTTTTTTGACCATATATGCAAGGATTTATTTCTAGGCTCTTGTTTCTGTCCAATTGGTATATATGTCTATTTTTATGCCAGTACCATACAGTTTTGCTTACTATAGCCTTGCAGTATAGCTTGAAATCAGGAAGTGCAATGTCTCTAGCTTTGTTCTTCTTTCTCAGGATTGTTTTCACTAGTGGGGGTCTTTTGTGGTTCCATACACATTTTAGGATTTTTTTCCATTATTGAAAAAAAAGTCATTGGAATTTTGATAGGGTTGCATTGAATTTATAGATGGCTTTGGGTAGTAAGGAAATTTTAACATATTCATTCATCCAATCCATGAACATGGGATATCGTTCCATTTATTTTTGTTTTCTTCATTTTCTCTCATCAACGTCTTATGGCTTTCAGGGTACAGAGCTTTCATTTCCTTGAATAAATTTATTCCTGAGTATTTTTTTTTATGATATTGTAAATGAGATTGTTTTCCTTAATTCTTTGCAAATGTTTTGTTGTCAGTCCATAGAAATGCAACTAATTTCTGTATGTAATTTTGTATCCTGCAACTTTACTGAATTTATTAGTTCTAACAGTTTTTGGTGGATTTTTCAGAGTTTTCCATATGCAATATCATATCTTCTACAAAGATATCTATCTTCCTTTCCAATTTGAATGCCTTTTATTTCTTTTTTATTGTTTGCTCTAGCAAGGGCCTCCAGTACTATGTTGAATAAAATTGGCAAAAGTGGACACTCTTGTCTTGTTCCTGATCTTGGAGAAAAAGCCTTCAGTTTTTACTGTTGAGTATGATGTTAGCTATGGGCTTGTCATATATGGCTTTTATTATGTTGAAGTACATTCCTTCTGTACTCAAGTTGTTGAGAGTTTTTATCATGAGAGAATGTTATATTTTATCAAATGCTTTTCCTGCATCTATTGAAATGATCATATGATTTTTTCTTTTATTTCATTAATTCTGTATATCACATGTATTTATTTGCATATATTGAACCATCTTTGCATCCCAGGAATAATTCCCATTTGGTCAGGGGTATGATCCTTTTAATGTGCTGTTGAATTTGGTTTGCTTGTATTTGTTGAAAATTTTTGCATCTACATTCATCAAGGATGTTGACCTGTAATTTTCTCTTCTTGTAGTGCTTTGATATCAGGATAATGCTGGTTGGGTACTCTCTCTTGCTCACTTCTGGATCATTCACCCTAAGGGAAGCAAGTTACCCTATTGAAAGGCTCATGTGCTATGCAACTAGGGCCTTCCAACAACCATGTGAGTGAGCTTAGAAGTGGACCCTCCAGCTGTCAGCCTCCACTACAGTGAGACCACATTCCTAGCTAACAGTTTTGTCTGCAACTTCATGAGATACCATGAGGCAGAGGTACTCAAGCTCTGCTATGCCTGGATTCTTGACCTACAGGAACTGTGATGTAGTAAATGCTTATTTCTTGAAGTCAGTCATTCTGGGATAATTTGTTATGCATCAATGCATTAATTAAACTCACAAATGAGATTATACTTATGATAATATCACTATCAGGTTTAAATGAGTTTTTAATTCATGATGGCTATGTAACAGGAAAGTATATCTTTTAAATAACTTGTCTGCAGTATATATTTCCCAATACACATATATTATAAAGCTACTTTAAGATGAGTTATTTTTCAAACTACACTTTAAAAAGCATACTTACTAGGTCATAGTTATACAGAGGTTGACATACTTTTTCTAGAGTGTACAAATATCTGACATTATCTTTTGATTCATTTGCTGTATCTGTTATTCTTGCATCCAAATCATGCCAATTCTAAGAAAAAATGTATAAGAATACCATGAAACATCCAAATATATCACTTTACTTAATTTTAATCAAGAAATTCAAGCTAGCTTCCCTAAAGTAGTTGATACTAAATGTGAATGACATATCTTTTTCTTATATAATTTAAGACTTAAGGTTATTATAAATACTTTAAATGACTTACTACAACTGAAGGCTCATTCTGTTTGTAATTAACATCCTGTCTGTAGGCTTAAACTGGACTTGCTTATCTGGAACAACTTTTCTAGCTTACTTATTTGTGACATTATATTACTTTGGGTCTTTGAGAATAGGATATACATACAGATAGAAAGATACAGATACAGATACAGATATATAGATGTAGATGTAGATAGATATAGATCTTTTTTAAGGAAGAATACAGCAAAAGAAAACAATCTAGAAAGAATCAAACCAAGCTGTGTAATAGTGGACAGGAGATGTATACTGACAGCACATTTTTGCTTTTGACTTTCTATGTAGTTCTTTACCACCCTGAGCCTCTATTGATTCACAATTTCAAAAACAAATTAAAAGTAAATGGCAATCACCCCATAGGAGTATTGCCAAAATTGGTGTGAAAATATTGAGAAATAGGGGCACCTGGGTGGCTCAGTCGGTTAAGCATCTGCCTTTGGCTCAGGTCATGATCTCAGGGTCCTGGGATTGAGCCCCGCATTGGGCTCCCTGCTTGGCAGGAAGCCTGCTTCTCCCACTCCCACTCCCCCTGCTTGTGTTCCCTCTCTCGTTGTCTCTCTCTCTCTGTCAAATAAATAAATAAAATCTTTTAAAAAAATACTGAGAAATAAATCTTTATTTCTATACTTCTTTTTCTTCTTTGGGAAATGATAGTGGAATATAAGAAAGCCTTACTCAAAGTTTAATACTTCTAAGTATATGGTTTCAGTATATGATGTGAAAAAGCAGTTCAAGAAGGGTAATTTTCCAGTTGGTTGTTCAGAAACATAACAAATTTTAAAATAAAAGGCCTTTTACCTTCAACAATTTGGAGTGTGCAACATTAAGCACATTTATGACAGCCTTACAATTTGGCCCTTTAATCTGTTCAATAATGTAATTGAATTTGGCTGACATGCGTTTCCAGTGTTCCAATTCGGTGAGTGGACCTGAGTCATCAGCTTCTTTTCTCATCTGCTCACTCTCAATAAGTACCTGCAATCAAAAGAACTCAGAGAATATAGAAATGTTACTTTCTTCTTTGGTAAAACCTCATTATTTGCATCTTTTCAAAGGAAGCTTATAAATACATAACACTGAATAATATTAAAAACTCTTAGAAAACTGAGAACAAAAGGGAACTTCTTTAACATGATAAATAGTATCTACCAAAAATCTACAGCAAACTCATACCTAAGGATGAAATTTTAGAAAATATCACTTTAAAACCAAGGACAACACAAGTTTGCCACTAACACTGCCCACTTCTATTCAACCTGGTAATGGAGGTCTCCAAAGAAGATAAGTAGAGTAAAGGCATAAGAATTGGAAATGAAAAAACAAAAATGGCATAATCAAAGATGATACGGTTGGTCACATTTTTAAAATTCAAGAATATCTAAAGATAAACTTTTACACTTAGTAAAAGTGAATAATTCAGTAAGGTTACTGCATGTATTCATAAACATCAGTAGCATTTCTCTACAAGCCATCTAGCAATCTGAAAATGTAATTTCTAAAAAAAGAGCATTTGGTATAACAAATAACAATAATGATAAGATATCTAGAGATTAGCAAAGATGTGCAATATCTTTGTGAATAAAATTAGAAAACTTACTTTCGGCATACAAAAGAAAACCTAAAAAAATGGAGAGATGCCATGTTCATGGATGGAAAAATTCAACCATATAAAGATGACAATTTTCTCTAAATTAATATACATTCAATGAAAACCAGTCAAAATCTCAATAGGGTTTTTTGTGATACTTGACAAACTAGTCTTAAAATTAATTTGGAAGAACAATTAACCAGAAATAATCAATGCAATTTTGAAGAAAAATACAGAAAAGGACTTGCCAGGCCAAATATTGATTTAGTAAAAAACTACAGAAATGAAAGCAGTATTACATGAGTGCAAAACCCAAATAAGTACACCAGTGGGATAGACAGTGGGATTTGAAATTTGATATATTACAGAAGTGATATTAAAAGTGTGTCAGGAAACAATGGCCTAAAACTCTGGAAAGAGCCCAGATGCCCATCAACAGATGAATGGATAAAGAAGATGTGATACACACACACACACACACACACACACACACACACACACACACAGGAATACTATGCAGCCATCAAAAAAGAAATCTTGCCACTTGCAACGACATAGATGGAACTCAAGATGCTAAGCGAAATAAGTCAATCAGAGAAAGACAATTATCATATGATCTCATTCATGTGGAATTTAAGAAACAAAACAGGATCACAGGGAAAGGGTAGGGAAAATGAAACAAGACAAAATCAGAGAGGGAGACAAAGCATAAGAGACTCTTTAAAAAAAAAGATTTTATTTATTCACTTGACAGAGAGAGAGAGGCAGAGGCAAAGGGAGAAGCAGGCTCCCCAGTGAGTAGGGACCCAATACGGGGCTCAATCCCAGGACCCTGGGATCATGACCTGAGCTGAAGGCAGATGCTTAACTGATTGAGCCACCTAGGCACCCCAAGAGACTCTTAATCACAGGAAACAAACTGAGGGTAGCTGGAGGGGAGGGGTATAAGGTTGGGGTAACTGAGTGATGGACATTAAGGAGGGAATGTGATGTAATGAGCACTGGGTATTATATAAGACTGATGAATCACTGAACTCTACCTCTGAAACTAATACACTAAATATTAATTAATTTATTTTAAAGAAAATTTTTTTAAAAAAGGAAATAATGGGCTATTAACTAAACAGCTTATTTTGGGGACAATTGGCTAACTATATGGAAAAAGACAAAATTAGATTCCTACCCTACACACACACACACACATAAATCCAGATGAATTAAAAACCTAAATATTAAAAACAACATGGCAAAGCTTTTAAAGAAAATATAGGAGATAAAGGAAAAGCATGCAACTAAATATCATAATTGTCAGGGAAATGGTTACCACTAGGGGAAAGAAAAGGGAGTTGAAACTGGGAAGAGGGCTGCATGGAGATTGTAAGGTGCTAGTAATGCTGCTTCTTAACTTGTGCAAAAAGTTACATGAAGGTTTGTTTTACAATAATTTGTTTCTTTTATTGTATTCATTTCTGTAGGTTTCACTATTTAAAATAAATAACTTAAGAGAATATCTTCATAATACTAAACAAGGGTTTCTTAAATAAAATACAAAAAGCACAAAGTTCCTAGCCACTGGAGGTAACTAAGTTAAAGCTGGATTACAATTTGTAACTAATAAATTTACATTAGAATGTAAAACTTCCACATGACTAAAGACACCATACCAAATTAAGATGTAGGACACAATGCAGACCAACAGAGGATTAACATCTGGGAAATATTATTTAAACTCCAACATTTCAGTAAGATATCATGGAGCAATCTGAACTAAAACTAGGTAAAGGATGTGAACAAGCAACTCAACAAAGAAGAAACCTAAATAGTCATTGAACATGCTCAACCTCAGTATAGTCAGAGGAATGCAAAATAAGATATCATTTCACACCCAACATCCTGGCAAAGATTAAAAATCTAACAATCCCAAGTGTAACAAAAGATTTGAGGAAATGGGAACTCTCATATGCTTCTGTAAAAATAAAATAAGTTAATATAACCACGACTTGGAGGGCTCTGTAATATCCAATAAAGATATATATACTATTGCTCTCAGCAATTCCACTGAGAAATCTGGGATATGTGCAAAGGAGATCTGAACACAGGTATTCATTGAATGTGTATTATTATTGTTTGTAATCGCCAAAAAAAAAAAAGAAAAGAAGAAGAAAGAAAAGAAACAACTGTCTTTCTGAGGGAATGGATGAATAAACCTCTTTACCTCCTTAAACACAGCATATTAGACATGATTTAAATGTGTCTTTACTGTGTGAAAATTTATATAGCAAACTGATTTCTTTATAGAGGAATACTAGACAGTAGTAATTTACTTGTACCAATGTAGATGAAAGAGAATGCTAAATGGAAAAAAAAAACTTGTAAAATCATATTTAATGGTGTTATACCATTTGTGTAAAGATTTTAATCACAAATATATATTCTGTATTTATGTATAATGTATATATAATTTATTTTTATATATAATTTAAAGCTTATAAATATGCAAATGCAATGAAAGTGTGAAACTTTCAGGGGAATGAGAGAAGACAATATCATCAGGACAGTGGTAATATAGAGGGTGGGAAAAGGGATGGGTTGGAGGCTATTGTGAAAATAAAACAGATCCGAAGCAAATGTGGCAAACAGTATTTGTTTAATCTCAGGAGTCATTGTTTCACGAGTCATTGTTATATTATTTTCTGTACTTTTTATGTTTATAATGTTACATTATTTATTTATTTATTTATTTTTAAGTATGCTCCACACCCAGCATGGAGCCCAATCATGGGGCTTGAATTCACAACCCTGAGTTCAAGACCTAAGCTTAGACCAAGAGTTGGACCCTTAACTGACTGAGCCACCCAGGCACCCCATAACTTGACATAATTTAAATTGTGATGGAATGTTTTAAGAATACAAAGAGGTAAAATACAGAGTTGATTTTTCAGACCTACGAAGGTTCTTTCTTTAATCCAAGAAGTCATTATTGCTTTTAATTTTAACCATGGTTTATGGAACTCTTCCCTAATCTTATCACAATCTTCCCTACCTCCTTAGATAGGGGATACTAGACATAGTTTCAAGTTTTCTTAAATAGCTGGAAGTCTAAATAGCTTGAATCACTGAATTAAGGAATGAAAATGGACCTTAAAAATCAACTAAATCAAACAACCCTTTTGATGTTTAATTTCTGTTACAACATTATTCATAGATAGTAATCAGCCTCAAAGTGGATACTTTCAGGAATGCAGCACATTCCAATTTTTTGTGTGGACAGGATTCTGTGAAAAAGTTATCCTGATTTCAAAATTAAAAATCTCTCTCTTTATAGCCATCATACTCTCTTACTTCTGCCATTTAGGGCCATACGGTGCGAGTTTAACTTGACATGAAATCCCATCGAATATTTGAAGATATCATGATACTCCCAAGTCCCCCCCTTTTTTTTTTCCTTGGTCAAATATCTTCATATACTTTCCTTAAATGACACTGCTCATATCCTTGGCCTATTTTTCTCTCTATTGCTCATTTATTAATGATTTATAGAAGTTCTTTATATATTATGGATACTAACTCTTTGTTATTTTTGCTGATAATATTTTCTCCCAGAAGGTCATTTATTTTTTAGGGTTTTTTTTAAGATTTTATTTATTTATTTGAGAGAGAGAGAGAGTGAGAGTGAGAAAGAGCATGAGTTGGGGGTGGGGAGAGGGAGAAGTAGGCTCTCCACTGAGCAGGGAGCCCGACATGGGGCTCAATCCCACGACCCAGGTATCATGACCGGAGCCAAAGGCAGATGCTAACTGACTGAGCCACCCAGGTGCCCCTTTTTTAATTTTGCTCATGGTAATTTTTGCCATATGGAAGTTACTACATTTTTTTCATACTCAAATCATGTCAGTTTTTTTCTTTCATGGCTTCTGGGTTCTGTATCTTAAGAACATATTAATATAGTCTTATGTTGTGTTCTGGCTCATTTATAGGTTTCATTTTACTTTTCACCTTACTTATTTAAGGTTGCATTTGTTCACTCAAAGCATCTTTGAGATTCATCCATGTTGTTGCATGTATCTGTTTTTTAAGTTTTAGGTTTCATATTTATGTCTACAATCCATCTTGATTAATTTTTGTGTATGACAAGAGGTCAAGGTCAAGATTTAGGTTTATTTTTTTAATCTATTTATTTTTTGGTCAAAGTTTATTTTAGACATCACAGTTCAGATTTTTATTTTAGATTAAAGATCTTTCCTATTTCTTGCATTGATTCTGCTTAATTGGAGCCATCTGCTACAATTGCGCAACTTGATTTTCTTATTTCAAGTTGCTAAATCTCCCTAAATCTCAAGCTATTTTCTTTTGTTTGCTCATTTTTATGAAAGAAAATCTGTATTGATTGATCATAATGGTTAGAGAGGATCTCCTCAGCCATTGTGTAGGACAGAGCCTGATTTCCGTAATGGGTTACAACTCCTCCTTCCCCCAGTGACATAGTAGGTGAGTACAGAAGTCCTGTGGTGCTCAATTACCCACTTCAATTTCCTAGTGACACCTAGAACAAATTCTGGGCCAGCACTATAGGCCCCACTGGAGTTTCCAAAGTCCTCCAATTTTTCCATTCCAACTGCACCTCCTTCCTTCTAACATAGTTCTAAGAGAGGTAAAATTGAAAATGTTCTAACTCTTGCTTAGTCAAGATTTTTTTACCTTAGTCTTCATTTAACTGAAGATTTTCTTCTCTAGTTCCACTGTCCTATGCTCATGAACTAGAGATTTGTGAGTTGGCTCCTAGTGTCCTCTTTCAGTTTAGAGCAATTACATAGTACCTGATTTGGGGCAGTATGTATAGTGTAAGTTGGCACCTCTCAGAATGTTGACATATGCCCCATTCCTACTGCAGCTTTTCCTACTGCCAGAGAAAAATTTGACCAATGCCGTACTGACATGATGAGCCTAGTTTGAACCTCTTGGTCAACACAGACAATTCCATTGATCAACCAAGAGCTATTTATTTAGTGTCTAGCACCGTGACTATAGTCACTTCATTGTATCCTCTTCCTTTCTCTTATGAAGAGAATAAACAATATATAAAATATTGGAGATGAATGCTGGCTATTCCTAATTCTTCATTTTTCCATTCTCAACCCATATTGTTATGGTTCCCTCCTTCAAAGTGAGAAATAATTAAAAGTGATTTTCAGTGCCCATAGAGAACAACGATTTTGCACTAGAGTCAAGAATAGGCTAAGTTTCATAACGGAATCTGGAAGACTCCTCTTCCCCTTACTTTTAGGGACAAAATGCAATGGCTAGGACACAGATGAGAATTACGACTCATATCTGATGTAATTACTTGAGTTAGCTCACCTGTTCAATCTGTTTATACCATGTCATCAGCACCTCCTCTAGCTGACGAACAGTTTCTGAATTGCTAGCTGCAGCTGCCACTTCTTCAAATGTATGCAGTTTGGAAAAATCAATATTTTCTACCTTCTTTAACATAACTGTTCCCTCAATACTTACTCTAGCACCTAAGAGGGAAGAAACAATATTGAGAAGAGGTGTTTAATGTCAATGTGTGGTTTCAAGCTATAATTACTCAAATGTTAAAGATCGAATACTTTATAGAAATATAATATAAATTGATCATTAGATTGTGACTTGATAATTTTTAATAATATTATTTTAATAATATAAAATTATAAAAGCATATAATTTTAAAAGAGCTGATAATAAAGTGATATTTTAAAATGTGGTGAAATTTTTCATTAATAATATAGGAAAAGAATCTTCCTGCTATAATGGAAGAAAAAAAACATATCGTACTCCTTGAAAAATCCCTGGAAATGAGAGGATCTAATGATTTGATTTCTTACCTCTACATCTCATAATTACTTTGATTAGCACTTTCTTTTAAGATGGAATGTTTTTCCTCTAATGCTTATCTTTAATAACATATCTTATAAGGACACCTGGGTGGCTCAGTTGGTTAAGCATCTGCCTTCAGCCCAGGTCATGATCCCACGGTCTTGGGATAGAGCCCCACATCTGGCTCCTTGCTCAGCGGGGAGTCTGCTTCTCCCTCTGCCCCTCCCCCTGCTTGTGTGCTTGCATGTGTTCTCTCTCTCTCAAATAAATAAATAAAGTCTTTAAAAAATAACATATCTTATAGTTAATTTGCTCATTTTTAGTAATTTACTAAGTATTAAATTTTATACTTACCATCTAAAAATGAAAGGTATCTGTTGATGGTTTCAGTGAAAATGTGTTTTTCAGATTCTCCTTGCTTGGACTGGTTTAGAGCACCCCAATTATTTGTTGCAAGAATAGCTGGTAGGAATACACTTGACAGCATATTCTTAATCCCATTTAGGATTCCTGTTGATGCATCCAGTACAGTAAATAGCACTTCCTGAAAGGGTGGTGTTCAAAAGTGATTTTATATGCCAATCCCATTAACGAACTGAAAACCATAACCTATTTCACACTACAACAAACATAGACAATACTTTTATATACTGCTAGGAAAACATAAGTGGTCATGAAAATGAGAGTTTTAAAATCAACAAATTTATATTCTGCCCCCATTCTAACCATTCACGTATATGTTGATGAAGGCGACACTTTCCTCAGTGCTTTAGTTTCTACCTAGGGAAGGAGACATGGCCTGGAGCCTATACAATGTGAAGGAAATGAAGCTGAGCTTTCTGCATAAATTTCTTAGTGGAAAGTTGCTCTATTCATGGAAATGGGACTAGAAAAACTCCATCAGGATAGGGAAAGAGCAATGACACTAGCCCAGTATTTTAAGTGGAAAAAATGATCAGTCTCAAGAAATCAAAAGCACAGAAACCAGAAGTCCAGCATCTATGAATATGACATCTCAGTTCATACAATTTAAGTGACACGGAAATCTCAACCCAAGAAATTAAGATAAAAAGCCTTGCCCAAAGGCACTAAAAAATTTTTTTAACTGTGAGTGCATTTAACTCACAGAAGAATACAACAGTTACTAATCCAGTTTGATGCCATTGCCTTGATTTGTGCTAAGGTGTCCCAGTCTTTCTGTTGCCTCTGCACCATTAGTCAAATGTCAACATAGTAAAAAGGACAAATATCTTAGTATTATGATAAAAATGCATTTTGACCTTGCAGATTCCATGAAAGAGTCTTGGGGACCATGCTGAGGATCACTGGTATACTGTATGTTCAACTGTGATTGTATTTACACAGTTATAATGATATAAACAAACATCTAGCTAAGGAAAATAGAATATAACTACATTGGAAGAATGAAGGGATGGAAAATGGCAGGAGGGGCAGAGGACAAAAAAAGAGCTACATCCTTATCTTCCATAGGGAAGAGTCAATACATAATGTCTAACCTAGCAAAGGAGCAATCAGAGCCTATTATTTGGAGATATGGAGGCAAATGAAAGAATCTGCTAAGAGTTAAAGGCTGTTTCTGGAGAGTGAGAAAGAAGTCGGTTTTCATAACAAGACTTACAGAGTTTCTTCCTTTTTTAAAACTGCATATAACTGTGACAAAAATAAAAACTCAATGATAAAAAAGAATGGGTTGTCACAGAAAAGCTGAATGGAGAATTCGTGAAATGGAAGATAGACTGAGGAAACAAATCTACACATGTAGAGACATCGTGGCAAAACAGTTTCAAAAACAAAGAGCAAAAACAGAAAGAAAAGACAGATCATCTATGAAGTACACTTACAGAGGAGGTTTCATCAGCCAACAGAGATATCAGATTGGAATAGCTACAAGGAGTTTGAGGGAAATAACTCCCAGCCTAGAATCCAAAACTAAGCTAAACCACCTCTCTTAAATCAATCTTTTGTCATAAACAGAAAAGGAGAAAAATTAGGTTGGATCTCAGTTACATTTCCTGTTGTAAAAAGGAAGACTTTTGTTTATTAAGACTCTTTAAAATAATAGAGAACTAGTATTTGTTGAGGGACTACTATGTTAGGCAACATAAGCATTGGCTGATGATATCATTTAGTCTCACCACAATGCTGTAAGGTGGTATGACTATTCCCAATTTAATAATGTAAAAACCTAAGTCATAGAAAAGAAAAGCAAGTTGTCAAGGAACACTCCACTGGTCAGTGGTGAGGCTAAGAGGCAAATTTGGGTCTATCTGAATAAAATTGCTGATTTTCCCAATCCATCAAGGTTCCTTCCTGGGACTAAGTAAGCAATATCTAGGTCAATTCTCTCTTCTTTCTGAAACTATCAAAGAGTTTAAATATTAAGTAAAGAAGAGGTTAAATAAAATAACTAATACTCAAAACTGTGTGAACAACATTAAATTCACTCCCAGTGAATGGAAAGATGGAAGTTATTTGCACACCTTCTAGAAGAAATGGGATTTTCATGAATTTTAAAAGCAGTATCTAAAGGATAAATATCACTGAGCTCTATTATAGTAACTTCTCAGTTTCTTTGAATACATAAATACATTATTTTTCTTGGAACTCAATTCAGTTCTATATGTAGAAAGGAGAGAAAGCAAAGAAAATGTGTGACGATGATGATACATTCAATGTTTAACTATAGGCTGGTGATGTCAATACATGGTGGAATAAGATGTCCTTTGTTTTTGTCCCCTAACAAAAACCAGGAATTTGGTTTGTATCCATGGACAAAAGTGGCTTTGTGGGAGCTGTGGGAACCAGCACCATATGCCAAGGAACACAGGAGGAGTTTTCCCCACCATGCATCAGAGAACAGGCATACAGACCTCGGTCCAGGTGTGGAAACTGCAGTGGGTGTGTACCAACCCCAACCCCTCTTGGACACTGTCTAGGAGCCCCTAGAAAGCACTCTTAGTCACCCACAGACAAGAGAGCCCTTGTGGAAGTCCAGATTTCCAGAAAAGAAGTTCCAGCACATAGTTGGAGTAAAAAATATATATATATATGAGTTTGGGTGCACTGGATAAGGTAAGAGGAGCAGCTTGACTTTATCCACATCACCCCTTCCCCAAGGCAGCATAGTTTAGTACCAAGAGAGATCTTCTCAGTCTATCATTTCTCCTGCAGGGGAAAGTAAAAGCACATAAGTGAGCATCCAGCTTCCCCAGCTGTGTAGGATGCTGCCAAAGAGGCTCATTTCTCTCCCACCCCATCCATAGTACTGAATCATGATCTGCATGGGTGGGAGCAGGAGGCAGAAAGAAATGGAGAGAGGAGCAGAAAAGACTCTTGCAAGGCATTAAAGGGAAGCAGACTAGCTGCATCACAGATTCCATCAAGAAGCCCACCACTGAGAGCCCAGCATGGCCACTGGGAATATCTGGCTCATGGATTCCCCCAACTGGCCTAGGGGCACCCCCAGCTCTCAGCATGCCTCAGCCACATATGCCCCCTACCCTGTGGCTGGTTCCCTGTGCATGCTCCTGATGGCAGCAGTGAGAACAAGCTTTGGCAGATGGCTAGTGAGTACATGAAGAAAACCAGCCCAAATCTATTGGCCGGGGGAGATCACAAACTTGAGCTTTCACATCACCTTTGGGAAAATGAAAGGGAGGCTCTCGGCCTGGTGCACTGCAGGATTGAGAGAAGGCATACAAGCTCAAGAATTCAACCACAAAAGGGAGAAAGAAGTGTAGAGCAGGTTTATCCATAGAAGGTCTGAGGGAGACTCAGAATCACCAGCAGGGCTGAGGGAAGGCATTTCTCTACCAAAGGTAATAAAGACTGGCAGAGGTGACTATTACCTCAAACCCAAAGCTAGTGATGCAAAACTTTAAGGAACATGAAAAATAAAGGAAATAATACCACCAAAGGATCACAATTAATTTTCTAGTAACCAACCACAAAGACATGGAAATTTGCAATTTACCTGAAAAAGAATTCAACATGGCTGTTTTAAGGGAACTCAATGAGTACAAGAAAACACAGAAAGATAATTCAATAAAATCAGAAAAACAATACATGAACAAATTGAAAAGTTTAATAGAGATAGAAATCACAGAAAAAGAGCCTCTGGAGCTGAGGAATACAAAGAAATGAAAAATGCAACAGTGACCATGAACAACAGAATGGATCAAGCAGAGGAAAGAATCGTGAGATAGAAGACAGGAACTTTGAGTTGATCCTGTCAGAGCACAACAAAGGAAAAAGAGCGACAAAAACTTAAACCTGTGTGAACTAGGATATCATCAAAAGCACCAATTCACAAGTTATTGGAGTTCCAGAAAAAGAAGAGAGGGGAAGGAGGGCAGAAAGCTTATTTAAAGAAATGGTGACTGAAAACTGCTCAAATCTGGGAGGAGATTTGGATATCCAAGTTCATGAAGCTCATATGTCACCAAACAAAATCAACTTAAAGAGATCCTTTCCAAGACACATGGTAATAAAACTGTCAAAACTCAAAGACAAAGAGAAAATCTTGAAAGTAGTAAGAGAAAAGAAGCTTATAACTTACAAGGGAACCAAACCCTGACAGTTACCAACAGATTTCTTAGCAGAAACCTGGCAGGCCAGGAATGTGTGTAATGATATATTCAAAGTGCTAAAGGAAAAAAAAAATACCAACCAAGAATACTCTATCTGGCAAATTACCCTACAGCAATGAAGGAGAGATAAAGATTTTCCTAGACAAATAAAAGCTGAAGTAATTCATCACCAGTTGACCTGCCTTATAAGAAATGCTGAAAGGAGTTCTTCAAGCCAAAATGAAAGAACACTAATTACTGACATGAACACATATGAAAATATACAATACACTAAAAAAGGTGAGCATGTAGTCAAATTCAGAATACTCAAATACTGTAATATGAGTGGTGTTAACCACATAGCTCTAGTATAGAAGTTAAAGAATGAGAATGATAAAAACAACTATAGTCACAAAATTTGTTAATGAATGCACAGTTAAAAAGAGACACATTGTGACATCAAAAACGTAAAAAGGAAGAGCAAAAGTGTAGAGATTTTATATGCAATTAAAGTTACTTGTTATCAGCATAAAATAAACTGTTATATCTATAATATTTTATGTAAGCCTTGTGGTAACAACAAAGCAAAAATCTAGGGTAGATTCACAAAAAGTTAAAAAGGAAGGGAACAGAGCATAACACATGGAAAAACACCGATTTACAAAGGTAAGTAGAAACAGAGGGGAACAGAAAAAATGGAAGTACAGAACAACCAGGGAGCAATCAATAATATAGCACTAGTAAGTCCTTACATAGCAATAATTATTCTAAATGCAAATGGATTGAATTCACCAATCAAAAGACACAGAGTAGCTGGATGGATACAAAAAGCAAGACCCAACTATATGCTGCTTACAAGAGACTGACTCACTGCAGCTTTAAAGATACACATAGGCTCAAAGTGAAAAGAGAAACTTTATATTCCATGCAAGTGGAAATGAAAAGGAAACAGAGG